TTTAAAGGACTCATCTTCATTTTAAAATTTTAGACTCACAAAATGTTAAGTTTTGTATCTTACCTGCCTCTGATTTCATTATATAATCCAAGGTATTTCAAACAGTTATTTATGAAAAGAGCATGTCACAATTCTAGAATTTACAGAAATTTAAAGTTTACTTATTCTGACCAAGTTGATCAGTAAGAGACCAGGTGTGTAGTTGTTCAAATATTTTGAAAGAGACTGGGGCTTCCAGGAAAGGGGACAGATTAGATGAGAGCCCTAGTTTACTTTCTGTGGCAGTGAAAGGACTCACTAAGAGCATCCTAGGGAAGGAAGAGCTTCATTTAGTTTAAGCTCTACTTCCATGTCACAGCCTATCTTTGAGGAAAATCATGACAGGAAATGGAAGGTAGAAAGTATAGGGGAAAGCTGCTTGCTGCCTTGTCCACCTGGCTGGCTTTCTAGTGCAGTGCACACCCAGCTTCCCAGAGAGTCTGTCTGTATCAATTAACCCAGCCTGATCTGGATAGTCCCCAGACAGAGGCTCCTTTTCCATTCGACTCTAGACTGTATCTCATTGACAGTTAAAACCCAACCAGGATAATAACATACAAGACAGTCAATCTGAGAATTTAGGTTTCTGGGTCAAAATACATTTTTTTCAAATTTGTGAAAATAATAAATGGCAATTTAAAATATTAAATGACCAAATAAGTTCACTTTTCCAGGTTAAATGATAAACCTCCTTTATTGACATAACAGTGAAAGTACATGGCATTCACATCATACAGATGATTTTAATTAAAACCCCAATTCTTCCCCTCTTTTGAAATTCATCCTTAGCCAAGCCCTTTCAGTTCAGGTTCTTTAAAGTAGGGTCACAAGGCTAGAAAAAATGAAACTCTTCTGGTATCTCTGTCTGTCTTGGGCTAAAACCATTCAATAGACTTAGTTTTCAAAAAAATTTAAAAAAAAGTTCAATTGTGAGCTGAGAGTACTGAACTATATCCATAATCCCAGCTTTTCTGGAAGCCAAGATAGGGAGAATCACAAATTCAGGGCCAGCTAGGGACCTTAGAGGCCCCACAGGGATAGACCACCTTAACTAGAGAGCCTATGGAACATGTGTTGGCAATGGAGTGTGTAATGATTGAAAACCAACATGTATTCTGTTTTAAACAACATAAATAATAAAGAGCTAAAATTTCTCATTCGCTTATTCCAAAATTAAAGATTGCTTATGAGTCCCTTTAATATAGTTAACTATGCAGGAAGATCAGAGTTAAAATATTTTTTTACAAATACACACACACACAGAGAGAGAGAGAGAGAGAGAGAGAGAGAGAGAGAGAGAGAAGCAAGCAATTATATTTTCCTGCTCCAATCCTGGGCAGAAATGCTACTTAGATTTTTGTCCATTGGATATGTAGAAAACAAGAGAACCTCTATATCAAAAGAAGGCAAATACTCTGTATTTTTATACATTTATTTTACATCCCAGCGGCAGCACACATACTCCATCCTTCCCAATCCTTCTCCTCTCCCCATCTCCAATCCTCCATCCAGGAAATGGCAGGTCTCCTGTGAGTAATCAATAAAACATGGCATATAAAGTTGCAGTTATACTAAGCACCTCCTCATATATTAAAGCTGCACAAGATGACCCAGGATGAGAAGTAGGCTCCCAAAAGCCAGTTGGGTACAACACAGTCCAGGGGGCACTGGGAAGTGTGTATAGCATTGGTGGGCCTGGAACTCATTATGTAGAGAAGGCTGGTCTTAAATGTGTGGTGACCCTTCTGCCTATGTTTCTCATGTCTTAGGCCTGCAGAGTAAAGTAGTGTACCCATGTCCCCCTGCCTTCTGTCAGCTTTCTGGAACAAGATTCTCTGTGTCCTCACCCATTTCTAGAACCTATTCTTTTGCCTTTTGCTCTAGTTATCTCTGAACCTTAGTTGAAAACTGTGTTCTCTTGATGTAGAGGTGTAGCTGCTTGCTTGACTTCTCCTACAGACAGGCGGAAGGGAATTGCTTTCTTCTTTGTGCTTTCCTGTGACTTACTGGCCATTCTTCCCCTATAAATGTGCCGAGGCTGTCATCTCAAGCTGTCCAGCTATATTACTCTTGACCCTTCTCATTGTCATCTACCACTGCTGGTATGTTGTCCTTCACTCCACAAATATTTTATCTCTATCTTTCTCGCCACACACACACACACACACACACACACACACACACACACACTTATAGCTAAATAAATATGATATGTAAATATTTACATGATTGTTTTCACATTGGTGTGTAGGATATGTAGCTGAATTTCTATCAAGAGAAATACTGTAACAAATGGAGAAAATATTGACTTAGAGGTGAGATAGAACTTTTTGTATTGTTTTGGCAGCTTCTCTTTGGGATTGATTTCACTAACTACAAACAAAGCATAATAGTCTCACTTGCTTGTTTGTAATTCATGAGGTTCTCCATGGGCTTAGTATTCTTACATCTTTGACTTTGTACCTTGCATACATTTCTGTTTGAATCTATCCTCCACTCTATGGTGGTAGAGTCATAGCCAGGGTTGACACCCTGATTTCAGCATGAGAAAGCTATCAGGTTTGGACACTGCAGACTGCTATGAAAGGACAGAAAGGTGGGAAGAAAGATGAGTGAGAGACTTACACACCATGCTGTGTCCTTGCCAGCTACCATACTGGTAGTCTTCTGTACATGGCCCTCGGCTCTGTCTCTTCCACACTCATCTACCCCACCAGTGGCAATTCTCTCTGGAATGTAAGTTGGTAGCTCCTTTTGTCTTATTCAAGTCGTTTCTTCTCTGTTTACATTATCAGTACCACTTTCAACAAATTCTCACTTGTTGTCTGAAATTGTTCACTTACTCTTCCAGGATCTGAGTAGGTTCATTCACCTTCTGGCACTGCCTCTTACACACCCTGTTCCATCTATGCTGGCCTGTATGCTGATCCTTGACCCTGTCAGGCATAACTTTATCTGGTTCTCTCTCTCTAAGACATTATTGGCCCTAGTGCCAGGTAGCTTGCTGTGTAGTTTTAAATCTAAAGTCTTCTGCTCAGTGAGACCTACGGTTTCCACTCCAGCACTTCCATCTCCATGTTTTTTATTCTACATAATACATATTTCATTTATTTGCTTTTGGTATATTTGCTTCTCATTAGAAAACAAGCTTCAGGACAGCAGGAATTTCTGTCTATTCTTAATCCAGATGTATTTGAAGTACCAAGAATTTTCAAACTGTGTTAATGAATGAATGAACTGTATGTATTTAACAGATAAAAGGTAATCAGTGGATTGTCTGATGAATGGCTGATTGTCATACTGACTGACTTAAATATTAAACACATGGAATCAGAGAATTTAACAGGTAAGTGAAACTTGAGAGTTAAAAATCATTTAATCCAAGCTTCTAATTTCACAGATGAGGAGATCTGGGGCCAGGTTTTAGTGACTTATATTTAATCACCCTTATAGCAATGTCAAGATGAAAATCTATTCCTCAGGCACATTTCACGATTTGTGTCAAAACAGAAAGAATTGTCCTTCATTATTATGCTATATTTTTAATAATAGAAAGTAACCAGGGTATTGGAATAAAGCACTCTGTATCTAGAGCTATTGCCATCCTCATCTCCAGGGCTTAGGCACAGCAGCTCTGGCTTTAGGCTGACTTTCCGTCAAAGCTGCCATAGTTTGTCTCTGAGCTGTTCCATGCAACTTCTTGCTATCTGAACTTCAGGAGAACTCCCAGATCTGCCCAAACTTCCCAAACTAATAAAAATGCAGAATATTCATAAATGAATATTAGCTATAAAATAAAGGATAACTATGCTACAATCTACAGACCCAGAGAGACTAGGTAACAAGGAAAGTTTATGGGGGGGGATGCTGGGATCTCCCTGGGAAAGAGAAATAGAAGGGATTTTGGGAATGGAAGGAGGGAAGGTGGGGTGAGAACATGAGTGATCAGGCTTGGGAGCCACAGGGAGGGAGATGCTGAAGGGGACTGCTGAGGGGGTCATTTAGGGGTCAGGCAGGAACCTGGTGCAGGGGAAGCTCCCAGAAGTCTGAGGGGGGGACCCCAGGTTAGAGTCTCAGCAATAGTGGATAAGTAGCCTGAACTGGTCATCTCCTGTGACCAGACTAGCCTCACACAATTGTCATCAAAGAAACTTCATCCAGCAACTGATAGAAACAGATGCAGACCCACATCTAAACATTAGGTAGAGGTCAGGGAATCTTGCAGAAGAGGGGGAGAAAGGATTGTAGGAGTCAGAAGTGTCAAGGATACCACAAGAAAACCCACAGAATCAATTAACCTGGGCTCATAGGGGCTCACAGAGACTAAACAAAAAACCAGGGAGCCTGCATGAGACTGACTTAGGCACTCTGCATGTATGTTACAGTTCTGTGGCTTGATCTTGTGGAACTCCTATCAGTAGGAACAGGGGATGTCTGTGACTCTTTTGCTGGCTTTTGGGAGCCTATTATTCCTTATACTAGCTCACTTTGCTCAGTCTTAATACATGGAAGGGTGCTTAGTTTTATTGATACGCCATGTTTTGTTGACATCCATGGGAGAGCTGCTTTTTCCTGAATGGACATGTAGAAGGAGTGAATTGGAGGATAGGAACAGTGTGGGGGATGGAGAGAAAGGACTGGGAGGAGGGAGGGGAAACTGTAGCTGGGATGTAAAATAAACAAAGAAAGAAATTTTAGTTGCACTATGTTCCTGGGAGTCAAAGGCCTTCTCTTCCTATAATGGTGATCAAACATCAGGCCTTCAAGCTCTTACAGTGGTAAACAAGACACATTTGTTTATAAATATTGTTCTCTAAAACACTGGATAATGTAAGGGAGTAAATGAAAATAAATTGTAGTTCCCCCAGAAGTGGCAAACATACCTCCCTAGAGAAAAGTCTTCAGTTTTGGTGTGTTCCACAGTCACCAAATGGCAATGATGGACAGTGATGAATTCTTACCTGTACAAAGTCACCAAACGCTGAACCTTCCAATCTCTGCTCACAAGGTATCCCGTCCTTGCAGAGCTGTGTCAGCTCAAATATCATAAAGAGATGTGAGAAGATGGAATTCTTCCATCTGACGGGGGAGGTCCTTCTGTGTATATGATTGTCTTATTAGTTGATAAAGTACTGTTGGCCAATAGGAAAACAAGATAGGTGGGAAGACAAGTCAAGGAGAATTTTGGGAAAGTTAGGAGAAAGTGCAGAGCCACCATGTGAGCCCAGGAAGACAGGACCCTTCCGCTGGTGTCCAATAAGATAAGTCTTATAAAATACATAGATTTATGATAATTAAGACTGAGCTAGCAGATGAGAAATCCTAGTCATTGGCCAAGCAGTATTTGTATGTAATATAAGTCTCTATGTGTTACTTGGGACCTTAACGTGGTGGCCAGCAGAACTTGGGCAGCCTAGCGGAAAGCACCCATGTGGCAGCAGGGCTCGGGCAGCTTGGTGGAAAGACTTGTTGTTATAGCCTTCCAAACCCAAACAGCATTTCTCAATGTAAATTATAATGCTTTGCATTGTAGGGTTTCCATAAAGGGTCGGGAGAGTGAAGAAACAAGGGCCCCATGCTCGGCCTGCTGGGAAATCTGCAAGAACAGGCTACAGCTAGGGACTCCAGAAGTAAATCCCTCTGCTTATTTGATGCTGCTGTAAGTATGACCAGTCACGACATCTATCACCTTGAACCTTCTTAAAAAACACGTATCCTGAATTTCATTGTTGTTGTAGTTGGGCAAGATGATAGACACAGATGCAGAACTGCAGATCCAGGGGAGTGTGCACACATACCCTGTGAGATACACTAAAGGAAACATGGGATGGGGGATGATCAGGGGTGAGAAAAGAAAAACAAGGATGACCAGGAGCCCAGACCAAGCTAAGAGATGTTTGACTTTGTGATTGAATGATGAAAGGGGGCTAATGAGACAAGCAGAGGAGGAAAGCACAAATGGCCCTTTAATGGCATTGTTTTATTGCAGTTGAAAGGATGGCAATGAAATGAACAGAGAAAGTCGAATACACAGTCTTTTTCAGAACCAATTTATTGGAATGGTTTCCAGTGTTAAATGGCTACAAAGTCTGCTCTGGGATTCAATTCTTCACCTTGGGAAAGCGTTTCAGATGGCTTCCTAATTGCCTTGCTAACCTATTTTATAAGTTCTTACATCAAAACAACCTGTATTATTTTCCATTTATTCTGCTAAATGACATTTCTGGCACTAAAGCACAATTTTAGTAAGTGGTCTGCTCTCGAAAATAGGCTCTATTTCTTTTTAATCATCTAAAGTGTTAGCAAAGAACAACAAAATAGAAGAAATGTAAAATGTCGTGATGATAGCATGAGTTTCTCCAAGCTATGAACAAGCACAATTGACCCAGTTTGCTTCAGAAAATTGCATTGATGAGGCTGGTCATCACACAGTTGTTATCTTCGGAGTAAACAGGGTCCATGCATCTTATCAGAGCAGGAGATTTATATTAGGTGCAGTGTACTTGTCCTTTTCCTCTGATAGTATCCTTTATTCTCTGGAGTCTGATTTATATGTCTCTGCCTTCAGCCATCTGAATCCTTTGATGTGGACCAAAGTCCACATCATATTCTAGTCAAGATCTCTTGTGAATATCAGACCTAGAATCCTCTCCATCTAGTTGACAGTCTCTGTAGTTGTCACAAAATCACCTTGGAATCTGGATGGCTAAATTGGATGCATGGCTCTTCCCACAGCCTAGAACTCAACCAAGGACAATATTAACTATCAAAAGACACAGGCCAGGCCAGGCCAGGAACACAGAAAGCCACCTATTAGAAACTCACTATATCACACATGTACATCTATCTAAATTTTAGAAGATTATCTTGACGTATTTACTTTCAATACATCTATTTCTTTCATTGCTTCAGTCTCATTAAACTTAATACATGGGTGTCACATCCTGCCATGACATTAGCATTCCTACTGTGCCCTGCAGTGCCTGTGTGAACTAGACACTGACATTCATGGGCTTGCCTCACTGTGCACCTCTTCATCTGAGCTGCATGATCTTCTAATACACATTCTCCCTTTGATTTGGGGACATTCATATGCTTTTCTCTTTTATAAGACCACCCCCCCACTCTTTGTCTAGTTTATTTATGCTTCAGTCCAATGGCCTTTCTTTTTCACATGTTTGTGTTTGTGTATGTGTTTGTGCATATGAGTGTGTGTGCATGTAGAGGGCAGAGGTCAATGTCAGAGGCATTACTCACTCTCAGTCTCTTTCAGTCTTGTTTTTTTGAGAAAGGCTTTCTCACTGAACCTGGAGTTCACTGAGTCCATCTTGTGTGGCAAGCACTTTATTCACTGAGCAATCTGTCCAGCCCCTAAATGTCCCTCCCTGGAGAACTGTCTGATCAGATCTGGTCCCCATTGTATAGTACCTTTTAATTCCTTTTGTAGCACTTACCAGAGCATGCACAGTTTCCTTGAGGAATCACATCATCCCTGCTTTATTTTCCACTGTGCTCCAGTACCTAGGAGAATGTATGGCACACAGCACTCATTTAACTCAATAAATAAATACATGAGTGTCTCTGTCTATGTGATCTGTTTGGTTGTGACCTCCGCTGGTCTAGCACAGCACCTGGGAAGTCCCAGTCAAAGGAGAGAAGGGCTGTCAGTCTGAAGAATCATAATTACATATTCTAAATTCTAGCAGCTTGGGAATTTATCTTTTGATCTTTGGAGAAAAGAATCATGATAATCTGAGAGTCTGGACTCATTAAAGATTGCAAAGTCAGATAGTGTGGAACTGAATCAAACCAGATGTTTGACTCTGCCTACTAGTTAATTTCTGTTTTCTAGACCAATGGCTGATTCTTTACTCTCACATTTTGGGAAGACAGTGGACAGGAGCTGGCCCTCTACCATTGCCCTCCACTGTCTCCCTCTACCTCCTGCCTGCCTACTCCCCCACTTATGTCCTTTGCCACCCATAGGATTCCAACTTGTTCCTGTGAGTATCTTTGGCAAAACTTTCTTGTTCTTTTACCAAATTCTTCCACTTTTCACCAAATTCAGATGCATAGAGCCAAGTAATCAATTTCCATGAACAACCATATTTTAGAAGTTAACTAAAATATAATTTCTTCTGTGATAAAAAACAATTAAACTCCTGGGGTCAATAATTAAAATTTAGCTGAGTATGGTGGTGCACACACTTTAATCACAGCACTGGAAAATTCAAGGCCAGACTGTTCTACACTGCAAATTCCAAGACATCCAGGGCTACACAGAGAAACCCTATCTTGAAAAAAAACAAAGAAAAAATTGGAAAATTTAGAACTACCAATAATTAATTGCTCTAAAGCATGTCTATAGTATATACATTGATTTTATTATTTTAATAATATTATTACCTAAATATTACATTTTACAAACAAAGAGGCAGAGTACAGACTAAGATCATCAGATAAGAAAGTATAAGACTCAATATCTCCTTTGCACACCTGAGTATCTGAAGGATTGTCTAATGCTAGAATCAGGCAACTCTAGGGGCTCAGCAGGAGTAAGAATTCAGTCACTATGTAACAATTGGGGGAAAAGTACATGAAGTAAAATCATGTATCAAATATAACAGCAGGGGGAAGTAGATTTAAACATTAGTCATTCTATTCACTTTTTTTCTAATTTCAGTAAAATACTGGTTTGTTATGGATAGTTTATACATTATATAGAGAAAAAAAGCATAAAAACATCACAGTCTCACAATTGAAAGCTGGCAATATACTGATTACAGGTTAAAATTTTCTTAAAATTTCCACAGACTCCTTTTATTCTCTATTCCTTTAACTGGTTTGGTAATTTATCTTTCCCTGTCTTAAAATATACTAAAATGGCTGTCCTTTGTGGCACTGGTGCACACGTGTTAGAGAGTTTGGGATTTTTCTCCATCAGCCATTAATTGTTCATTCTTTCTATCCAATGCATCCTGAAGTTTGCTCCTTATTGCCTGTTCAAATTGAAAAGATTTTGAGGTTTTGGCAACCTGTCTTCTCTGTTTGCTCTGTGAGTTTGAGCATATATGACATGACTTAATGTCTTTCAGTTCCTTGGAAAAACATGATATCAAACTACAGATGGATTTCTCATGCCCTTCTCCTACCAGGCTTTTTTTGCCAGCATTCTGACCAAACATTACAATTCTCCCCAACACAGTTCTTGGTGATGGCAGGATGCCTAGGGTGACAGGCTTGTTGTGACATCTCTCCAGAAGAGAAGTAGAATAGATACCAAAGCAATTTGGCATCAAGGTCACATGATCAATGCTCTATCTACTGATGCATTTACCTAAATTTTTCTATTATTAATAAAAACTCGGGAGTCAGATTTGGGGGTACAAACCTGATAGATCAAGAGAGCAACGGGAGAATGACTAACTGACCCTCTCTCTCCACCTTCCTACATGGAAAAGACTCCAAGTGAATCTCTCCAAGTCCCTCCCTATCTCTTCCTGTGCCTCTTTATCTGGGCCCTCCAAAATCCCTATGGCTAATTCCAGTAAGCTGGTCATGGACTCTGCACCTTGATTCAAGGTTTAACTTTATTAACAGTCTCAGAATGTCATTGTGCAATCAAATATTCTGCAACAATCTACTATGTGGTTAGTAATTACTGAATCTCATTCCAATAGAACAAAGCTGGGCATGACAATGTATGCACCTGTAATGACAGCATTGTAGGTGTGAAGAGCAGATTTCTGGGGCTTCCTACATTCAGTTTCAGAGGTTCTTTCAACATGATGATTTCATTCATTTGAATTGATACCAAGTAATGGATTAGTGGACAGTTAGGGATGAATTTAAGCAAGGAGGTTAAAGAACTTCACCAAGTAAATTGTAAAATACAGATAAAAAACTTGAGAAGATACAAAAACTTGAATAGAATTTGCATGTTAATGGATTAGAAGAATTAGTGTTGCTAAAAAGTATGCATCCAATGTCAAATTGTTGAGGAGGTCAAAGCTCACCACCACAGCTGTGCTTGGTGTGCGTGTGACTT